CACCATGGCTCACACCTCTAATCCCAGTGCTTTGGGAGGTTGAGGCTGGAGGATCACTTGAGCCTAGGAGTTTGAGACCAGCCTTCACAACACAGTGAAACCTGTCTCAATGAAAAAAAATTAATTAATTAGCTAGGCATGGTGGCACACACCTGTAGTCCTAGCTCCATGGGAAATTGAGGTGGGAGAGTCACTGAGCCCAAGAGTTCCAAGCTGCGGCGAGTTATGATGCACTCCAGTCTGGACAACAGAGCAAGACCCTGTCTCAAAAAAAAAAAATCTACCCATATATGTAAAGTTGCAGTCCTACTTAGTTGGAAGGAGAGTGAGCTGAGATCTTGGATGCCTATGCCCAGTGTCTTTCCTGGTGTTCTGGTGGTCAGTGTTGCCTTTGACAATCTATGTCTTTTAAATAGAGTGATTTCAACTTTCCCTCAGTTGACACTGTTGATCCAGATGAAAACTTTAAATACGAGGTAATGGTAGTCTTGACTTCCCTACCTTAAGCCTCTTCTTTAACATCAAAGATGCTCAGCTTCACTATAGTGATCATTCATCCACTGCACATTTGAGTGCCTACAATAGGTCCAGCACAATTCTAGCTCTCAGGAAATAGCAGGGAATAAAAACAAAAGTCATCATACCTAGAAAGTGTACATGCTTGGATTTGCCATGAGATGCCATTTGTAACTATTAGATTAAGGAAAAAAATGTAAAGTCTGACAACATCAAGGGTAAAGGAGGATATGGAGTGACAGAAATGTATGTACACTGCTGGTGAGAGTAAACTGATAGAGTCACTTTGGAGAGCAAGTTGGCAGTACCTAGAAAAGTTGGAAATGTGTCATACCCCATGAAACAGCAGCTTTCCTTCTAGAAACATCCTAAGAAAAGATCTTGTATTTACATATTTAAAATGTTGCAGCAGCACTGTTCACAATATTTAAAAAATTGAAAATCACCTAAGTGTTCATGAAACAAGAGAATGGACAAATTATAGTATAAATTATGTGATATTACACAGCATACAAGCTTTTAATTTATAATTTCCTTAACAAATGTATTTTAGAATTATAGTTTTTCTTACTGTTACTGATTTAAATTATATTTTCTAACTTTGTCGGCAATATATAGGAATACGATTGATATCTACATACTGATTTTATATTCCAGCAACTTTGCTGAGCTTTCTCGTTTCAATTTTTGAAAGTAGTCTTTTTTTTTTTTTTTTGAGTTGTAGTCTCACTCTGTCGCCCAGACTGGAGTGCAGTGGCCGCTCCCGGCCACCGCAGCCTCGACCTGCTGGACTCCGGCGATCCTTCCGCCTCAGCCTTCCAAGTAGCTGGAACTCCAGGTGTGACTAATTTTTTATTTATTGTAGAGATGAGGTCTTGCCAAGTTGCCCAGGCGGGTCTTCAACCCACGGGCTCAGGCAATCTACTCACCTCAGTCTCCCAAAGACGTGGGATTACAGGCTGAGCTATCGAGCCCGGCTTGAAAGTAGATTTTCTATATGGACACTCAAACCATTGTTTCCTCATGTAATCCACATCCAGTGGAATGAGTTTTGTTTCGTCCTTCCTTTTTTTTTTTTTTTTTTTTTGAGTTGGAGTCTCACTCTGTTGCCCAGACTGGAGTGCAGTGGCCACTCCCGGCCACCGCAGCCTCGGCCTGCTGGGCTCCGGCGATCCTTCCGCCTCAGCCTTCCGAGTAGCTGGAATTACAGGCATGCGCCACCACGCCCGGCTGATTTTTTTTAAATTTATTGTAGAGATGAGGTCTCGCTACCCAGGCGGGTCTCGAACCCGCGGGCTCAGGCAATGAATATCTTATTTTCCTTATTTGTTTAAATCTGCTAAGACCTTCAGCACAATACTGATTTTTAAAATGGTAATAGATACCATTGTCTTGTACTTGATTTTTTTTTTTTTAAGAAGGCGTCTCACTCCGTTGCCCAGGCTGGAGAGCAGTGGCATACTCACGGCCACTGCAGCCATGACCTGTTGGACTCAGGTGGTCCTTCCACTTCAGCCTTCCAAGTAGTTGGAACTAAAGACATGCATCACCACACCTGGCTAATTTTTTGATTTATTGTAGAGACAAGGTCTTGCTTAGTTGTCCAAGCTAGTCTTGAACCCCTGAGCTCAGGCAGTCCTCTCACCTTGCCCTCCCAAAGTGCTGGGATTACAGGCATGAGCCACCACACCCAGTTTGTACTTGATTTCTAATGATTCATCATTAAGTATTATTGTTATTTTGTTAGATACCTTTTATCAGGTTAGTAGTGTCTCTTTTATTCCAAATTGACTGAGAAGTTTACACATTTTTAATGAATGTTGCTTTAGCAAATGGTTTTTCTGCATTTATTGAAATAACAATTTCCTTTCTTCTTTTTCACTTTGTTAATAATGCAGATTCTTAATACGTTCTTCTCTCATTAAACAAACCTTGTATTCCTAGGATACTTCCAACTCAGTCATGACATTTTTTTTTTTTTTTTTTTTTAGTTGGAGTCTCACTCTGTCGCCCAGACTGGAGGGCAGTGGCCGCTCCTGGCCACCGCAGCCTCGACTTGCTGGGCTCCGGCGATCCTTCCGCCTCAGCCTTCCGAGTAGCTGGAACTACAAGCGTGCTACCACGCCTGGCTAATTTTTTTTTATTTATTGTTGAGATGAGGTCTCGCCAAGTTGCCCAGGCGGGTCTCGAACCCGCGAGCTCAGGCAATCCACTCACCTCAGCCTCTCAAAGGCGCGGGATTACAGGCTGAGCCACCGAGCCCGGAGTCATGACATATTTTAATATACACTGCAAGATTCCTGATATTTCAAGATTTTAGAATGTAGGATAATAAGTGGAATTGTTTTATAATTTTCAATTCTCAATATTATGTCTTCATAGTTTTAAGATATCAGCCTCATAAAATAAGTTAGATAGTTTGCCATCTTTTTCTGTTCTCTAGAGCAATTTGTATGAGAAGATTATCTATTTCTTAAAGGTTTGATAGAAATTTCCTAAAATAGTGTGTTTTATATTTTTTAGGTAGACTTACTACTGATGCAACTGACCTAATGTGCATACGTCTATTTAGTTTTTCCATTTCTTAATTTAATTTAGTAAGTTAAATTTTTCTAGATAATTCCTTATTTTGTCTGAGTTTCCCAATTCACTGGTATACAGTTTTTCCATAATTTTTGTTTTTATTTCTGAGACGAGTTCTCGCTCTGTCGCCCAGGCTGGAGTGCAGTGCACCATCATAGCTCACTGCAGCTCAAGCGATCCTCCTGCCTCATTATCCTGAGTAGCTAGGACTACAGGCATGCACCACCCTGCCTGGCTAATTATTTTTTTTGTAGAGATGAGGTCTTGCTATTTGCCAGGCAGGTCTCAAACTCCTAGGCTCAAGCAACCCTCCCACCTCTGCCTCCCAAAGTGATGGGATTTCAGGCATAAGCCACTGTGCTGGGCCTCATTGAGGGTCATTTTTAAAAGCTAGCAACAACTGGCCTTAGAAATTTGGAAGGAAGTATTATCTAGAAGTAGCACAGATGACAAAGCTGGCTTCTCAATGATTATCTCATGTTATAAATTGGGACCATGGGACAAAAGAATAAAGCAGTTCACTATTACACAGCTAACTGAGTTGAATTGGTATCCACTTCTCCTAAGTCTTGTTTCAAGGTTCTTTCCTGACCCATGCATTGTCAGACCATGGGCTTTATGAGAAATGAGGTATTTAGCACTGAATGTAAAAACATCTAATAACTCGATTTAGGGTCAGCTGGGGTTATAATATGCCTTGAAATTTGAATAAAATCTGGCTCATTCCCCATTCTCCACACATTGGGAATTCCTCCATTCTGCCTAAATATCTCTTTGGATACCTGATTTCAAGTTCCTGCTCTACGGAATACTAAGTCTTTATCACATGCTTTAAGTAAGGGCTTTCCCTTTTCAATGTTCTGTACTGACACTGTCCCATCTCTTTACCCTCTTGAACACAGAATCAAAGTTGTGTGATTAGCAGTTTAATCATGGTGGCAGTGGGGGTATTGGAGAGCATTTATATCACAGCATAGTACAGCAAACAGTTTAAAAATAAATCTTAAGACTGGGCGCAGTGGCTCAAGCCTGTAATCCCAGCACTTTGGAAGGCTGAGGTGAGAGGACTGCCTGAGCTCAGGGGTTCGAGACCTGCCTGGGCAACTTGGCAAAACCTCGTCTCGACAATAAATCAGAAAAACTAGCCAGGCATGGTAGCACGCACCTGCAGTTTCAGCTACTTGGAAGGCTGAGGTGAAAGGATAGCATGACCCTAGCAGGTTGCGGCTGTGGTGGCTGTGAGTGTGCCACTGCACTACTGCACTCCAGTCTGGGCGACAGAGTGAAATTCCAACTCAAAAAAAAAAAAGAGTCTTAGATATCTTCTAAAAAGTCTCTCCATCATCTCTACTGCCTAGACATTTTCTCTTAGATTCTGGCCACACTGCTGTCCACAGTCTCTCTACCTGCCCAATTAACCCTTTTTACTAGAACCTCAAAAATTCCTATTAATCTCTTATGCAGAGCATGCCTTTTCCAGCCTGCAAAAACTCATCATTTTGTTTTCATGGTGATCCATCTTTATTTTATTAGAAAGAAAACAACCAAGCACCCCAGGCTCCTGGCAGGCACTCTGGTGGGAATTTGTCAGAAACCCACCCGACCCACCTGTTGGGGAGGTCCCATCCTTCTCAGACCACAAAAATAAACTCCAGTGTACTGCTTGTTAGCACAACATCACGAAAAAACAATAGCAGTGACAGTTAAGTAGTACTTCCACACCCCCCAAACCCAGAGAACCCCAAGCTTGTGGCTGCTACAGGGAGTCCTACAAACCTTAGGGAAGGAGCACTTACAGTATCAATAGCAAGGGATAATGGTGGAGAGACAAGAATAAGTGAGGAGAAAGTAGACCCTAGAACTAATGTCGCCTATCCCTCACAATGACTGCACCTGGAAGGTTTGTCTAGTAGCTATGCAGAATATGTAAACTCTTGGTAGAGATGTTGGGCAGCCCCAGGGAAACCCCTCAGCAGGCTGAAGAGGGAACAAGATAGGCTGAGGGGAGTTTGGGGCTCATACTGTGGTGTGGAGAGGGGAAGCCCTTCCATCCGCTGTGCCCCAAGGTGGGAGAGCGACATCCTGGACACCATCATTCCCTCAAGCCCCCACTGGCACAGGGTCACAAGATCTGGGTCAGAGAAACGGTAGGGCCCTTGTAGTCATCAAAGCGGTTCATGGTCTTAAGGCTAAGGATCATGTGCAGGCCGAAGGTGAAGATGAAGAGCATGAACAGGGAGGTGAGCAGCCCCATCCAGATGCCTGGGGAGAAGAAGCTGGCACAGTCGCTGGCATAGGAGAACTGCTCACCCATCACCTTGAAGGCCTGGATCTGGAAGTCCTGAATAGTCATCTGCCAGGGTGAAGACTGTGTGTGGGCCACAAGGAGACTGCCCTTATTGCTGAGACTGCTGACATACTCACAGTGGAAGGAATAGATGCTGGGCCCTGTGACATGGGAGACATTGAAGTAGGTGATGGAGCCGTTGCTGTGGATTTCGAGGCGCTCCATGGTAAACCAGTGCCGTGCGGACACTGGGTAGAAGGCGCTGGCCAGTATGAACTTAAATGTCACTACCATACCAAAGAGTTGTTCGTAGGTCAGTGAGAGTCTGGCAAAGGAATCATTCCAGAACGAGCCAGTCAGGTTGAGATCCTGCACCCCAAAGGTGAGGAAGGTCAGGTCCTCCCACTCGTCCTTGTATGCCACAGAGAAGTTTTGGGCCCAGAAGAGGATCCGCGGGGCTGTGTCACTGTAACTCACAGGGGGGTGGATCACAACTGATGCTGGCTGTTTTTGTAACAGCTGGCGACCTAGCTCCCCAGTCACCATGGCTACATCACGGGCCACCCTGGAAGGGCGGACTGCTGTGAGGACTGCTGTGTAAGGGACATCTTCCAACTTGAGTGTGCTCAGCACCTGCCCGATGACCTCATCATTCCCTGTGAAGACTTCCCTGGGCGACATGAGACTGGAAGGGGCTGTGTAGGGCAGGTGGATAAGCAGCAGGGCAGGGAGGCTGGCATTGAGTTTCAGCTCTCGAAGAGTAGCTAGGTCCACGTGCAAGGGGCTGGCCCCAAGCTTCTCCTGCAGGTAAGTGGTCAGAGTGCTGACTACATACTGGTCGACAGCAGGAAGTACCAGCGAGGAGGGGGCCAGGTCCAGAGCATTCTCCAGATTAGAAAAGGCACTGTCCTGCTTGTTTCCAAACACACCACCATATGCCGTGAAATCCTCAATGCTCAGCTTGTCCTGCAAGAAGATCAGCACATTCCGGGGACCCTGCTGCAGGGCAGAGTCCAGGTACGTAGAGAGCTGCAAGCAGCTGGTGATATGGCCTTCGTGAGTGTCAGCCACAGGTGCCCACAAGTTGCGGTCACTCGACCACAGCAGCAGCGGCACTTGCTGCCTTGCGGCTGCCATGGCCACCACCAGCAACAGCAGCAGCCACCGTGTCTGCACTCGAGCCACCGTCACTGCCATCATAGTCTCAGTCTCCCAGGAATTCATCTTAAGAACAAATATGCCTGTTAAAAAATATTCCTAAAATATAGGATTTTTTTTCCCTTGAAAAGAAAAAAAATGTGACCAATCATTAAAATAGTACATTTTTTCTCTGCCACTGTCATAGTAACAATTTTGCTAGATAAAGTACTAAAAAAAAAGTACTAAGGACATTGGTGATTTTTAGAATTGGAGTAATTTTCCATTGAAGCTACAATTAAGCTTAAGGCAAATTAATATTTTGCTAACTTATCTCATTTTATAACTTTATAATAAACCTAGAAGTAGGTACTATTATTATTTTTTTCCATTTTATAGATGTGGAAATTAAGGTTAGATAACTTGCCTCGGGTCACAAATCTAGTAATTGGCAAAGCCAGGCTTTTGTTCAATGCTGTTTTGTTTGAGCTTTTTATTGTTGTAGTTGTTGTTAATAAGATATTATAAGGGTAGGAAAACTGTACTTCGCTCCTCTTAGGGTCCTGCTGGGTCTGAGAATTAAATTGACAGATGGTAGATTATGGGAGAAAAGCACACAGATTTACTTAACAAAGTTATGTGACATGGGAGACCTCATAAGGAAATGAAGACTCAAAGAAACAGTCAGTTACTTACATATTGGATTGGACAAAGAATAGTAAACTGTAAAAATGTGACTAAATTATGTGGGGAAGCTTAAGAGATAGGAGTTGTTTTAACAAGGCCTGTATAGTACGCTCTGTTTCACCTTCTCATTCCTGAAGATAAGGACGTTACCTTTCCTTCTAATAGCTCTACTAGAGGTACTCTCTCCCCCAGAGTGTCTCCTACAAGGGAATTTCATCTTCTGTTTTTAAGAAACAGCCAAGAAGGCCAAAGTGATCTTTGCATTGGCTGTTTTTCAACTGCCTTTAACCTAGCCAATATGCCCGAATAGCTTAATTAATTTACTTATTTATTTATTTTTATTTTTATTTTTTTGAGTTGGAGTCTCATTCTGTCACCCTGTTTGGAGTGCAGTGGCACACTCATGGCCACCCCAGTGTCGACCTGCTGGGCTCGGGTGATCCTTCTGCCTCAGCCTTCCAAGTAGCCGGAATCATAGGCGTGTGCTACCATGCTTGGCTAATTTTTGATTTATTGTAGAGATGAAGTCTCACCAAGTTGCCCACTCCACTCGCCTTGGCCTCCCAAAGTGCTGGGATTACAGGCTGAACCATGGAGCCTGGCCTAATCCTTTCAGTGTACATAATATTTATCATTTTAACGACTTTAAGTATACAGTTCAGTGGCATTTAGTACATTCACCACAATATTGTACAGTCGTAACTACTATCCATTTTTAGAACTTTCTCAAACAGAAACTCTGTACCCATTAACAATAACTCCTAGCCCCTGGTAACTTCTATTTTTCTGTCTCTCTAAATTTGACTGTTCTAGGACCAAACACAGTGGCTCATGCTTGTAATCCCAGCACTATGAGAGGTCAAGGTGGGAGGACTGCTTGAACCCAGAAATTTAAGACCACCCTAGCCAACACAGACCTCTACAAATAAAATAAATAAAAAATCAGTCATGTGTGATGGTGCCCACCTGTAGTCCCAGCTACTTGGGAGGCTGAGGCAGGAGGATCACCAGAGCCCAGAAGGTTAAGGCTGCAGTGAGCCATGATTGTACTGCTGCACTCCAGCCTTAGTGAGAGTGAAACCCCCACTCGATAAAAAAACTAATTAATTAATTTGACTATTCTAGGTACCACATATAAGTATAATCATCAAATTTGTACTCTGTGTCTAGCTTATTTCACTTAACATAATGTTTCAAGGCTCATCAATTTTTTAGCATTTATTAGAGTTTCATTCATTAAATTTTTATTTGAGCTGGACTTAGTGGTATGTGCACTTGTAGATGTAGCTACTTGGTAGACTGAGGCAGGAAGATCGCTTAAGACCTGGAGTTCAAGGCTATGGTGGGCTGTCTGCCCCTGTGAATAGCCACTACATGCTAGCCTGGGAAACATAGCAAGATGCTGTCCCTAAGAATAGAAATAAATTGTTGTGGTACATATAGGGGAGGCAAAACTTTACCTGTACCTTCTTAGGGTCTCTGGCTGGGTCAGAGACATAAGACAGATTAACAGGAGAAAAGCCTACAGATTTTTATAGGTACACGGGGGCCCCAAAGGAAAATGGAGACCCAAAGATGTGTCAAAATTTAAATGATTACATATTAGATTGAACAAAGAGAGACAATTGTGGAAAAGTAACTAAAATATATGAGGAGACTAAAGAAAGACAATAATTGTTTTGACATAGCCAGGCATGGTGGCGCATGCCTGTAGTTCTAGCTACTTGAAAGGCTGAGGCGGAAGGATGGCCTGAGCCCAGCAGGACAAGGCTGTGGTGGCCATGAGCGTGCCACTGCACTCCAGCCTGGGCAACAGAGTGGGACTCCAACTCAAAAAAAAAATTATTTTGGCAAGGTCTGTTTGTACAGAATGCACTCAGCCTGGACTCTCTGTGATAAGAATGTTTCTTTCCTCCTGTTTCATTTTTCACATGAGAATTTTATTTCCTCCTTTCAGGAAAGAAAGGAGAGGTTAGAGTGTCCTTCTTGCACCTACTGCTTTTCAAGTGCCTTAAGCTTAAAATAATCCTTATACCAAAGTGGCATATTTTGGGGTGGCATGTTCTACCACCCTTCACAGAAAATTTACAATTCTGACCATTTTTAAGTGTACAGTTTAGTGGCATTAAGTATATTCACATTGTTGTACAACCACCTCTACCATCCATCTCTAGAACATCTTCTTCTCAACTGAAACCCTGTATCCATTAAGCAACATCTCTCCATTCTCCCACCATTCCCTGCCAACCACTATTCTATTTTCCTGTGGCTATGAATTTGACTACTCTGTGTACCTTATAAGTGGAATCATATAGTGTTTGTCTTTTCATGTTCCGCTTATTCGACTCAACATAATGTCTTCAAAGTTCCTTTTGTAGTATATCTCACAATTTCTTTCTTTTAAAAGGTTGAATAATATTCCATTCCATTGAAGAAATGTTCCAGCTTCTATACATTTTTTTTTTACCCATCCGTCCATGGAAGGACATTTCCCCCCAACTTTTGGCTTTTCTAAATGCTGCTGCTTATGAACCAATGTACACATAATATGCTCAAGTATGCATAATATGCTGCTTTCAATTCTTTTGGAAAGTTGATCATATGAATGAGTCATTCTTGTCATACCCAAATAAAACAGAGTTGAGGAGCTAGGGGAAAAAGCACTCAGGGTACATAACATTGCTCTAAGAAAGTAATTCTCTATAAACCTGTCTGCTGAAATTGCCTGTTGTAACCTGAAACCAGTTTTTTTTTTTTTGAGTCAGAGTCTCACTCTGTTGCCCAGACTGGAGTGCCTTGGAACGCTCACAGCTACCACAGCCTCAACCTGCTGGGCTCAGGTGATCCTTCCACCTCAGCCTTCCAAGTAGCTAGAACCACAGGTGTGTGCCACCATGCCTGGCTAATTTTTTGATTTATTGTAGACAGGAGGTCTCACCATGTTGCCTAGGCTGGTCTCGAACCTCTGGACTCAGGTAATCCTCTCGCTTCCGCCTTTCAAAGTGCTAGGATTACAGGTATGAACCACCACACCCAGCTTGAAACCAGTTTTACCTAATAACTACTGAAACAATCTGCTGCAACTCTAAGACTAGTTCTACCCACCACTATCACAAGAGTTTGCCAGCTTTCCAAAACTTTACTAAGTGCCAATTAATTTCCTTTCAAAACAATACATAACATTTATTGTTTTTAGCTGGGCTCGGTGGCTCAGCCTGTAACCCCGTGCTTTAGGAGGCTGAGGTGAGTGGATTGCCTGACCCCGTGGATTTGAGACCCGCCTGGCCAATTTGGCGAGACCTCATCTCTACAATAAATCAAAAAATCAGCCGGGCGTGGTTGCGCATGCCTGTAATTTCGGCTACTCCGAAGGCTGAGGTGGAAGGATCACCGGAGCCCAGCAGGTTAAGGCTACAATGCCCGGGAGCGGCCACTGCACTCCTGTCTGGGCGACAGAGTGAGACTCCAACTCAAAAAAAAAAAAAAAAAATTTATCATTTTTATAAAACCTCCAACCTTCTTTCTTCTTTTGACATACCAAAGACCACCCAATCTTTGTATATGCTTCAAAATGTAATTCTTAGTCAGGTGCGGTAGCTCACACCTATAATCCCAGCACTTTATTTTTTTTAAGTTGGAGTCTCACTTCATCAACCCATCCTGGAGCACAGTGGCATGCTCACGGCCACCCCAGTGTAGAGTTGCTGGTCTCAGGCGATTCTTCCGCTTCGGCCTTCCAAGTAGCCAGAACTACAGGTGCGTGCTACCACACCTGGCTAATTTTTTAATTTTATTGTAGAGATGAGGTCTCGCCAAGTTGCCCAGGCTGTTCTTGAACGCACGGGCTCAGGCAATCCCCTCACCTTGGCCTCCCAAAATGCTGGGATTACAGGCTTGAGCCACTGCACCCAGCCAATCCCAGCACTTTGAGATGCGGAGGCGGGAGGATTACCTGAGTCCAAGGGTTCGAGACCAGCCTGGCAACCTGGCAAGACCTCATCTCTACAATAAATCAAAAAAATTAGCCAGGCATGGTAGTGCACATTTGTGGTTCCAGCTACTTAGAAGCCTGAGGTGAAAGGACAGCCTGAGCCCAGGAGGTTGAGGCTGTAGTGACCATGAGCATGCCACTGCACTCCAGCCTAGGTGACAGAATGAGACTCCTACTCAAAAAAAAAAATTGTAATTCTTGCTTCACTCCCCAAAAGTTTTCAAGATTAATCTCTATATTTTATTTGACTCCAGCATAGCTAGAAGTGGAATTACTGGATCATTCGATGATTCTACATTTAACATGTGAAAAAGAATATTAAGAACTATTATTTATAAAATGACTG